CATGTATTCGGTTTTCATGCAGCATGTCAGAGATCATTAAATGCAAAAAACGAACAAAATGAAATTCCAAATTGAACAGTCACAGGAGGACTACCCAGTAATTTTAGATGAGAACAGATGCAAAATAAGTCTATTAGGACCATTTAAGGAGGAGAATTTTTATTTTGTCAGCAGAGACTAGAAAAAATGGCTTATTCAGGCTAGTAAAATTAATTCTGAGATGTCTGTTACCTATGAAAACATCAGAAGTAAACACCAGGGAAGGAAAAAATCTATTTATGGATGAACTAGACAAAAGAATGAATGTTTATAAAATTTCTACAAATAAATTTAGGCTAACAATCTGAAGATTATTCCAAATAAAGAAAATTATGGAACTCAGTAACTTCTTATAATACCATTAACAGCAGCAGATGTAAAAAATATACTACTTTTCAAATGGAATGTGAGAAATAAAAAAAATACGATTATGTGAAGTGGTCATGAAAGGATTTTATCCAGGAGATCCTGGTTTGTCTTATATATGTCTAATCACCCTAGAGGGCGTGTTATTGCTTGACTACTACTCACTGGTCAGGTGGCATAACTTAATCCACTGAAGAGCCAGAGGTGAAAAATAGCCCCTATAGAATTCCAAGAGGTTGTTCCCTGCAGGCAGATCTTGGCAAGTTTCATCCCATTCATCTATGTTGTCTGCGTTTGTTACAGAAATAAAATTCCATTGCATGACTTATGCCTTTTCCCAGCAAATTTCATAATCTTAGTTACAGAAGTTACTGTAAATTGACTGTAGACTCTGTAGTGCACTTCTGTCATGTTAGGGAGAGACTATATATCACAAGAAAAAATGTGATGCATTTTTTACTTATCTTTTTTCTCATACCTGCAAACCATACTGGGAACATTGGCATACATGTTAGGTGCTATGAAAGCCAGGCAGAGAAGCTGTGCTTGAGTCCATCACACTACCCAGAAAGGCTGCTATATTTTTGTGATTTCTTTTTCATAAATAGTTATGCTCCCTGTCTCTAATGCATCAGAGATGACCACCTGAACAGAATTAGATGAGACTAGCATGTTTGTAACACCAAATGCCTTGCTTAGTAGTCCATTAGTAGTTAGTTCTTCAATTGCTAATTGAACTGAGAGGTGGAATTAGCAACATCTGTTGTGCTTTAACACTTGTAGGCAGCTAAGCCTCATACACCTTGGTCAGTCCCCCTCAGTCCTGTTTCCCACAGCAGGATGGGGAGAGAAAGGGAAAGGCAAAAGTGAGAAAACTCATGCATCAGGATAAAGACAGTTTAGAAAGAAGTAAAAAAAACAATGTTGCAAAAGCACTCACTCACCACAAATTGATCCGCATTCAGTCTCTAAGCAACAGAGACCTTAAAACTCACTCCCATTCTGCCCTTTCTCCATTTTTTACTGCTGAATGTGACATTATATGCTATAGCATATTCCTTTGGTCAGTTTGGATCCAATGTATCAGCCCTATCACCTCTCGGCCTCCAGCCTACTCCTGTCTGACTCTCTGGGGCACCAGAGTGAGAAACCAAATTTTTTTTCTGTGTTAGTGCCATTCAGTTATTACCATTGTTTGGTCATAAATCCAAAAGGTAACACCATAAGAGTTGCTATGAGAAGCACAAACTCCATTCCAGATAGAACCCGTACAATATTCCAGTGCTGAAAGGACAGGCAAAACATTCCAGGGCTATTGAATAAATGTTTATTCTTTTATTCCTATGGGATTTGCTCTCCTTTAGCAAGGGGCTAATTGGTTAAGGAAGTAAATAGTGATTTTCTGATTCTCTAGTTTTAAGGTATTTCTGTTTCAGTCATTATTTTGTTGCAATGAAGTGGTAAATTCATGGTTTTGACACTTAGCATGTGATATAATATCTTCATCTACATTATTACTATACTAGATCTACATTATTACTAAACCTGGTGAGGTTTTCTGGTCAGTAGACTAAACTTCTATTATTTTTAAAACGTAGTTCACATGTTGACACAATTAAATTTGTTTTATTACCCCAACAACCCTTGTCAGATAGTGTACTGGCAAAACAATTAGTCTGTAAGCCTGTTGTAGTCTTACAGAAATCTTTTCTTCTATTTTATCTAAACCAGCAGGTTATAGTAAAGGAAAACAAGGTCACCATCCTAAAAGGAAAGCTGAATTTAAAAATACATCTCAGTTTCTGGAAGAACTAGAACTAGAAGGAAGCTGGGTAGAAGACCCTATGCATTTCTTTGTTGTAACCTGTAGAGATTACTGTTACAGAGTTATCACAATATATGCCTTGCCTGCCACATGTTAGATGATTTGGGTGGTTCAGTCATAATTTAAAGACAATGTTGAGTCCAAGGGAAACTATGAGGTTTATATAAAATGCTGTGTGATCTGGTGACTGCTAGTGTTGGCCATCAAACTGCATGTCTCTGGCTCTGGCAACAGCAATTTCTCAGGGAAAAAAAAATATAGGACTTTCTACTCCCTATGCCTCTTCTCTGTCCCTTTCAGTGGAAGCAATAAATAGCTTCTGGTGAGGATTTCCACAGATTGCAAAAGGTGAGCAACTCTAAGGCAACATTTGCTTTGGAAGAAATTTAACTAAATGTTAATGTCCTAAGGATAAGAACACTTCTATGACACTGACTTGAGTACACTTTGTGCTCTGTAGTGTCAATCAAATCTAATGAAACACCAGATTCTTAAAAAAAAATTGGTTATAAATAGAAGATTGATATGCTTTAGGAATGGTACCCCCCAATTTAGTGGCCCTCCAAGACTCTTCAAACCATGCACCACTCCATCTTGCTCCCTGGCTTTCCCCTTCTCCTCTCCCTGTAGCATTCTGGAGAGGAGAATGGGAGGAACAAAAAGAAAAGATGAGAGAAGAAAAATTTACCAGAAGCAGCAATAAGTTAATAAAATGTACAGTTACAACCAAAATACTAATGACAGAAGTTATGAGAAAAGATGCAATTCACACAGAAAAAAGCCCTGACAATAGAAAATTAATAAATCAGATGGTTCCGCCTGCCATGGTTACTTGGCCAAACCACAACCCTTTCTTCCTGGAAGAATTCTCCTGACAATGATGTGAGGTGATATAGAATAACATCTGGGTCCTGGCCATGCCCTTTATCAGCTACTGAAGAAATTAGCCCTGTCCTGGCCAGACCTGGGACTCTGATTAATGTAAGTTTTTGGCAGCTCTGTGTCTTTTCTTGCTTTAGAAGTATCTAGTCTGCTTTGAGAATTTGTTGACAATGATACCATTCTCTCCCAGTTTCCAACTGCTGAATTGCATTTGTGTTTCTTCTGCATTTCTTTCTGAATGCTGTATTCTGTCACTGGTTAGAAGGGAATACTACAGGAAAATAAATGAATAGAGGTGAATATTGTAGATGATAACAAGCTGAATATATACAGCTGATATCCTTAAAGGAAGGGATGCCATCCAGGACCACCTTGACAAACTTGAGAGGTGAGTTCATATGAACTTCATGGAAGTCAACAAGGGAAAGTACAAGATCCTGCACATGTGCTGGGACAATTTCTAATATCAATGCACACTAGGGGTGAATGGATAGAGAACAGCCCCACAGGGAAGGACTTGAGAATACTGGTGAATGAGAATTGGATATGAGCTGGCAATGTGCATTTTCAGCCCATAAAGCCAACTGCATCTTGAGCAAAAAATGTGTGACCAGTATGTCACACTTAAGGGAGTGTGTTGCTGTGAGACTCCACCTGGAATATTTAATCCAGTCCTGGGGCTTCTAGTATAAGAAAGACATGAGCCTGCTGGAATGGATTCAGTGAAGGACTGTGAAGGTTGCCAGAGGTCTGCAACTTCTATGAAGGAAAGCTGAGACAGTTGGGAGTGTTTAGACTGGAGGAGTGAAGGTTATGTTGTCACCTTATTGCTGCCTTTCAACATTTAAAGTGCACTTATGAGAAAAGTAGGGGGAGACTTTTTTACCAGTGCCTGCCTGTACTGATAGGACAAGAGACAATGGCTTTAAATGGAAAGAGAGTAGGTGTAGATTGGACCTAAGAAATTTTTTATGATGAAGGTGATATGATATTGGAACAGTATGCATGGAGAAATTGTGCATGACTCACCCTGGGAAGTATTCAGTTAGGTTGGACAGGGCTTTGTACTAGATGATTTTTGAAGGTTCCTTCCAAATGAAAGCATTTGTGATTCTGCAATTCCGTGATCATTTGTGTAATACAACTGGCTTTCCATAAGATATTCTCATTTTGTTATGTATTTAATGATTCCTTTGCTAACATGTTAGCTGTTTGATACATTCAAATTTCTTCCAGTTTGATTATGTCACAGAAAAACTTGCATTTTTTTTAGGATATTGCATTTTAATTATGTTTCTAACCCTCCTTTTGCTGACAATTGTGTAATGTTATAATTTGAAGAAACAAAAAACTTTGTTACTAAATGTAGCATACAATAGTATAATGGCCTTTAATTAAGCCAGTGGATATGATAAATGACAAAGAAAATAATGAAACACATGCACACATCCATTATATAGTCAAAAGTGTACAATGTAGAATACTAAAGACAGAATTCTTGATGTAAGTTTAGTAGGAGTGATTATTCTCAATGTGGAGGTTGTATAAAAGTTGCTAAGATGTGTTTTAGTTGCCAGGCAAATTTTCTACAGTGGCCAAACCAAAAGCCAACTTCTCTACTTTCAGCTGAGGTCAAGAGGTATCTCATTCTTAGAAGAAACAAGATCTTTTGAAAGTCTTTGCTGTCTCCTTTCAAACTCTCTTCAAAAACATTGCTCATTAAGTGCACTATTGGGCCTCAAAATATTAGTGATCACTGCAGAAAATATTTATTAATCCTACTCATCATCACAACAAGATTTTTCTTTGCTTAACTAAGTATACATTTTATTTTTGCTTTTTTAAATTTTTTTTCAGTACACTGATTTGAATTATCTTACCCTCACAGGCTGCTTAAAAAACCTCAAAGTGCTCAATGTGAGTTTCAATAATTTGAAGTCAGTTCCTCCAGAACTGGGTGATTGTGAGAATCTAGAAAAACTGGATTTGTCTGGAAATATGGAAATAACAGAACTACCATTTGAAGTAAGATAACAATCTATGTTTGTTTCCATCTTTTTTATTTGCCTTAAAAGGTATTTTATCACAGTGTTCAATTCTTTTCTTAACGGATTAAATCATATTCCTTGCAGTTTTTAACAATAATGTTTTACTAGTAATATAATTGAAAATGCCTTAGAAGCACTTAAATAAGGCCAAAGTACTTTGTTTTGATTTTCCAGTGACTAAATTTTACTTGTATATATTCTGATATATGAAGGACGACAGGATCCTAAAGGGGATTTGGCTGTGGTAATAAGCAGACGGCTGCAAATAGCTGTTTTCTGTAAAAATGAAGTACATCTTGTCATATTCACATACACACTTTGTTCTCAGTGTCTGTTTTCATTTAAAAACTGTGTGGAAAGTTCTATAAACAGCACTGCATTTTGCTACGAGCACAAATATCTCTCTGAAAAAGGATCTTATATGTGAGGAATGGCATGAATGTATAATAGACTGAGAAAAGAACTCCCAGGCATGCACCAAGATTATTTTTTTCTGTTGACTGCATAACTGCTTTCTGCCACAGCTGCTCTGAGACTTATTATCAAGGGGAAATAAAATCATTGGCTGGTACCTAACCACAATTTTAGCTCTCATCTGTATTTCTCAGGTTCTTAATATCCTGATTTCTGGGGGCTGAGTAGAGGGATCTTTAGGGAAAGGTGTCAGACTCTTCTTTACTTATTCGTACTTTTTCTCTAAACATCTGTTACTGGTGATTCACAGGCAATGCTGGAGTGGATTAAACTTATGTGAGACCTGATTTAGTTCTGCTCATGTTCTCTTCTGAGGAGTAACAGTAATTAATTTTCTCCACTGACTTTTCATAGTAAAGAAGTTTATCTAAAAAGAATTGCTAAAAAAATTTTGTGAATGAAACGGAAACAAAGAGTGAATCTTCCCACTATAAATAGACATGAAAAAGAAATGCTAGCTACAGAATAAACAGTGCAGGTCTCCTTTCTCCTGCCTCTTCTCCTTTGGAAAGCAAAACCAGGGAATGAAACAGATAGAATTTGACTAGTAAAAAGGAATCATAATGGAATCAGGAAATCATATGTCCTGAGCAGGCAAATGAATTAAACAAAATGATCATAGAATAGTGAGTAGTATATTCAAACCTGTGGATGGTAAATTTACCCCAGTCATTGCTGTTTTTAAACCATTGAGTATTTTCCCAACTGCTTGCAGAGGTCTTGTAGTGCAAGGATTTACCATGTTTACGCATTGTGGGTAGCCTTCGCATGGAAACCTACCTGTGCATATAATGAATTCTTCCAGGGCTGAGCCTTTGGAGAGCTCTAAAATATCGTTTCCTTCCTAAAGTCTCCTATTCAATGAAATTGAAAGCTACAAAACTGAGTGTATTTTATGGTCTAATGGTTCACTTAAAACTTACGGAAAAATATTGGAGTTGTGCAAATAACTTTATAGAATAGTAAAAACTGCAAGCAACATCATCTTAGTATGGTACAAAAGGTCAAGAAGAAAAATATTGGCATTATCTATTGTGTTTCTCTGGAGGCTGAAACTCAATTTATATTTGTAGTGATCTGGGATTTAGGGTACACAAGCTCTTCTGATTTAGATTATCAACTCAGTTTCTCAGAATCAACATTTCAAGGGCAGCTTTGGAAGCTGAACATACAATTAAAGGAACACTTTTGTTGAATGATGTGAAAGGCTGCTAAGTGTTTGGCCTTTAGCATACTCACTACATCTTATGTTATTCAGAACAACTGCATCAGAATCCTTGCTAACATAATAGTGTCTAATGTTGACTCTCAGACAAATAGTTATAGTGATTAGCAGGTAACTCTTTAGTGAATTAAAACACTGAATTAGTCTAAACAGTCTAAAAAGAGAAACCAGAAAAATAGTGCTGGGCTAGCTTTGAACAGCCAAATGCCTACCTGTCTGATCACTTCAGCCCCCTCTTCAGTGTGACATTGGGAGGAAATATTTTGAGAAATCTCATGGTTAAAGGTAAAAGACAGGGAGATTCTTTCTCGTTTATTTTTGTAGGCAAAACAGACTGTACTTTGGGAAGATTAATATCAATAAAACAAAAGCTTTTCATCCCATCTCTCCCAAGGTCAACTTCATTTCAGATTCTTCTTCCATACCTGAGCAGTGCAAGGTGGCAAGGGAAGTTACAGCCAGTACACAGTTTATAGCTGCTTCTCCTTCATCCTCACACTTTTGTTCTCCCCTCATGTAGGGTCCTTGTGGGCTGAGCTTTTTCAGGAATATCCATCTGCAGCAGCCTGAGACTTCCATGAGCTGTAGAGTGGAGACCTACTCTACCATGCAGCACCTCTGCTTCCTCTGCATTGACTTGATATTCCCTCTGTTCTTTCTCACTCTTTTTATTTTCCCCCATTCTCTAGTGGAGTTTTTACTCTTACTTAAATCAGTTTTTAGAGTGTCACCACACACTTTGCTGAGGAGCTTTGCTGTGTCCTGTGCTCAGTCGATTGGAACCATCTGGAATTGTTGGTATACATTTAGGGCAGCCTCTGGTGTCTTTCTGCAGAGCATCTTCCCCTGAACTCCCCACACTGCCAGCACGTTGCCATGGACAGGCAATACAAGTGTTAATGACCACAAGTTAGATTATATGATTTATTATCCAGCAGAATTGTTGCCAACATCAGTTAATCCAGTGAAATGCTCATAAGGGTTGGCCATGTCTCTCATGTGGAGTCAGTACTGTGAACTGGAGGTTATAATAAAGCAAATATGTGCAAGCTCTGTTTTGGTAGGAGAATGGCTTCTCTTTACAACATTAGAAAGAAAGAGAAAACTTGGCAACTAATAGAAAAAACTAACAGAATGCTAAATGTCTCCTGTTTATCCTCTCTTAGGAAGTTAAATTTTTATTTGACTTTCAAGTCCTTAAAAGTTTCTTCTGGGAAGATTAAAGGAGTGTGCAAGAATGGCATCAACATTCTTCAGTGTATAACTTAGTCAGAAGTAATAAAGGCAAACTGCAGTCCAGTAGAAATTATTGAAGCTTAATTTTGCCTTGGGTTCCTTTTTTACATAGAGTAATGGCCCGAGAGACACCCCATCCAAAACCATAACATTATTCTTGTTCAAATGCACCTCATGGAGTAGCTGTACCAGCCTATTAGGATCATGTATGTCCAAGTGCCTGGACTTTTTCACCATTTCTATTTGAGTGTGCTTTGGGACTGCTCCTTGAGGGACGTGCCTTGTACTGTAGCATCAGGAGGAAAGCACATTGCTCACTTGCCTGTTCATTTCTAGCAAAAAGTTTTTCTGTGTTTGTAAAGGCCACTTTCAGCACTCTGTAAGTCATCTCACAAAAATCTTAAAATGAGGTAATCTGATGCTACATGAAAAAAAATTGAGGATTTGTGTTCTCATCTTTATGTTTCTCATCTTCTCATCCCAAAGATTAGGATTTCATACCATTTCATATTATGTCCAAATTTCAATGTCTAACTCTCAATTTAAAAAAAATTGTTCTATTGTTTGATATCTAAAATTTTTAAGATTTAGATATTTAGTAGATATCATATAATTAAATATTTAGATGTTATGTCTAACATTTAGATATTAAAATCAATACTTAATTAGTATCACTTGAAAGAAAAACTTGGCAGAGAAATTTTATGGATCTGCAGTGGAGTTCAAATCTATATTATCTGCACTTGCAAATGAATAAAATCTTCCTATGGACATGAGCGAAAATATAAATTGAAATAAAATATAAATGTACATAAGAAAAGTCAACCTACACGACATTATGTTTATGTGGTCAGTTTGTAACAGATACTTACAGACCTCAGTAGCCAAGTTTAGCAGAGGAAGGCACACTATGAGGCTTAGGGTACAATTGTCCCTGATACAACACATATCTTGTAAGATTCTTAGGTGGAGAGGACTTTGTTCTTCTAGCTAAGATGGTGAGGCATGCCCTGTACCTTATCCAGTCCCTCCCCCACCACAGTCCCTCTCCCACATTATACTGGATACTATATATTAGTAGATACAGGGAGAAGGAGATAGATTTATTTCCAAATTTCTTGTATATTTTGCATGTGAGTTTAAGAATTAGTATGATACTGGTATTTGTATTTTAACTGTTGGATAGTGTTCCTCTCACCATTATCTTCATACAGGTTATTCAATAAAATTATTCTTCCAGGGAAAAAAGCCTGTATTATAAATAATGTATTTTCTGGTTAAACTTTGTAGAAAAACTGCTCTGACCTTATTTTCAGGTGTTCTTTCTTCAGAAAGTATTGCTTTCTACAGTTATTTACTGAATCACACAATTAGTTTCCTGCGCATGACATTTCATTCATGACAAAGAGACAGCTTTGTTCTGAATTCCATTTTTTTGTGCCAATAATGTTGTTGCAACCAACAGTATCTATGTGACCCAAAGGAACTTCAAGGAGAAGAGAGGGAATATGAAGTTCTAATTTCCTCCATACGTACCATTTGGTATGGCACATGATGTCAGCCACAGGACAGGCAAGACATTCCACAATACCAGGAGCAAGACAGGAATGCTTGCACTAGATGTTCTGATACAGAGACAAATTAAAAAGTTATTATGCCTTGAACAGTGTTCAATACTACATCTGAAGAGTCCCAGTAAGTGATCAGAATTTTTTTCTGTATCATCTAGTGGTGCAAAATGAAGGAATTCAAGACCATTAAAGCATATGAATAATTTGTCAAGCAGAGAGTGTATCTATGAATGCCTACATTTTCATGTCAATCCTGTACATACTGATATTTGAAATTCAGAGAAATTAAAATGTTATGCTTCATGGTTGCTTTAACACACTGTGTTTTCAAAAGATCAAATTAAATCTTGTTTTGTATTTCTGATGCACAATTTCAGCTAAGTCATAATATAAGCAAGCACAGATATGAAGACCTTTCAAAATCACAGAACCGTAGAATAGGTTGGATTGGAAAGGATCCGTAAAGATCAT